GCCTTATCGTGGTTTGAGCTCCTCCACAATAAATATTTCATATGCAGAAGACCAAAAAGTTGGAAAATTATTTAGCTTCAGTTAAATATTACACAATGTATTATTTATTATATATTTATATTACTTCATTTCGTCGAATTATCTGAGGGAATGGTATTTTTCGTGATTACGGCTGGAAATGGTTATAGTTAGAAAACTTTAATGTTACTGAGAATTTTCTCACGTGTGTTTGTTTTGTGCTAACCTTTCCAGAAAATCATAATGCCTAGTCTAAGCTTAGCAAGTGAAGGATGGAGTATCAATGTTTACTCTTGCGAGGACTGCATGGAGTTTTATATTGTAGTAGAAAATCAAGGAGCCGCTTCGATATTCTATGCTGATAGCGTGGAGACCTACATCTATAGGCTAGATTAGGATAAGACTTTTGTATTGTACAATTATGTGATGTAAAATATACTGAAGTGATGTAATATTTAGTAGACTGTAGGACCTATGTAAAATAACTCATTTTTGTATCTGACGTAATGTTATCTATAAAGTAATGTTGGTAGATGTTTATATAATTTTCTTTATTGTTATTATCATCGATGTGTATTAATTAATTAATAACATTGATTCCTTTCCATCTTATTTCTCATTGACTATGCGGAAACATAAATATAAATGTAAATAAAAGAAATCATGTAATATTCCTTATAAACGTTTGTAGCAAGGGATGTTACACCTTGGATGCATACTTTTCCATAATTAAGGACTCAAATCGTCTATCATTTTTTTTTCTTCTAATAAAATATTTTATACTAAGGAAAAAAATACAATCAATTAAGATAGAAGTATTTATTTTCTTAATTAACAGTATTTTATTTTATTTTTTGGAAATAATTAACAGTATTTTATTGAGAAACATAATTAGTAACTATAAATTTAAACTCTATAATTAAAATCATCAAGTTCATACGGTTATGTATAGTCCTTACAGACTCGTTTCACCTAAATATGTCTATGTCATACACCATCTTGGCATTTGCAAGGTAACTTATGTATACAAGTCACACAAAAAAAAAAAAAAAATTATAAAGGAAAAATATTTCTCTTATTGGATGAAATATATTTTATAATCTTAAAAAATATTATTTTGGAATTTGAGAAAAAAATATATAACAGTTTTTCAAATTCCAAAATAATATTAGTTTAAAAAATATAAAATTTAATCTGGGAAAAACTTAACCTATTTATAAATAAAGGAAATTATAAATGATCATTTGTTTGTTTTCATATCGAGTTCAATTTTTTTTTGTAAAGAAATACCTTCATCAACACCAAACGGAACACGCTTTTCAAGAAGTTTGTCTTTTCGTTTTAGTTAAAAATGAAAACATCACTCATATTTTCGGAAATATTTTTTATAGTCCAGATCATTCAATAACTTTGTGCTGCCTCTTACAATACAAATTTTTCTTTCTCTCTTTATCCTGTTATTTTTTAGCTTTTTCAACTTTACCATCTCATTTACAGAACCACCTAAAAAAATGATAGTTCCATAGCATAATAAATACTGTTCATATTTTCTTAGTTTTGATGAAGATTCCATTGCATTTATCATTCCATTGCATTTTCTGAAGTTTATATCACATCACATTAATAACAGATGCATGCCCAACAAGCGGGTCTCGTGAAAATTAAAGTATTACATAAAACAAATATAATATATTTTTGATATTGAACGAGATAAATTATCTTTTGTACATAATAAAAAAGGGATGAAATTCATTAAACAAAAAAAGAAAAAAGAAAAAAAGTGAATTTCACTTATTTTTTATATGTACATATGATAAAATTATCTTATGTAACATAAAAAATATATTCCTTTAAAAAAATCAACAATCTATCAATTCTAGTATATGTAATAAGAGTTCACATGTAACAAACTATCAAAATACATAGTGTCAAATAATTTGAAATTTTAAAATATATTTAATACTTACTTTTCACAATCACTTCTTGAGTTTTATACACAACATCAATTCAATTGAGTAATTAATCAAACACTCACACTCTCAATTTGTGAAATGCCGAAGTAGCAAAGTCAAAATCAAGAGCGACATCTCATTTTCTAATTAAACGACAATGGAATTATTATATATAATTAAACGAAAATATTTCTTCTCCATTTACCGATCACTTATGATATAATAACCAGGCTTGATTCCTGAGATTTGAATTACCTACCTCCATCAATCTATATCAATACTGCAAAGGAAGAAAGCTAGGCGTTTTGGAACAATATCTAATGATTTCAATTGGCCAAACCAGTAGCGGATCCACTTGCGGCCAACGGACATAAAATCTTGGATTTCAATTTTATTTTTTTTGGTTATATGTGCTTATTTGTCTCTTGGTTCAATATATATATTAGGAATAAATATTCTTTTAAGTCCATAACAAAAAATAAGGTCCTTATTTTAGTCCATTACAAAAAAAATATAGTCTCGATGTCCTTCAAAAATTTAAAGTGGATCAATTTAGTTAAAATTGTGGTCCCTCGCAAATTCAAAAAAGACCTACATTAGTCCCTCAAAAAGACCAAAATGGGTCCACTTTGAATTTCACAGGGACCAAGTGACTAATTTTTTTTATAATGGACTAAAGTGGGGACCGGATTTTTTGTTAGGGACCAAAAAAGATATTTATTCTTATATTAGTTAGCAACGTAACAACGTAAGGAGATGATTAAAACAACGTAGCAACGCAAATTGATTAGACAGAAAACTTATTCTTTCTCCTCTGTCACGTACCCATTCTCATGCTCTCTTCATCATTTGTTTCCTTTTTTATTTTTATAAAAAGAGAGAATTGATTGCAAGTCTGACATTCTCAAATAAGTTAATATCTAGAGACGAGACATTCACTGTGATTTTGCTTGCCTTATGTACATGTAGTATTGACTTTTTTATTCACCACTATAAAATAGAATGATGATGTATGGATGTACTGGAGTATATTCTCATATTTGTTTTGGAGGATTGGTAAGATTTAGGGAGAAAATAATTGGTCAAACTATTGCCTGCAGCTTGTTATGGAAGCAACTAGATTATGAGCGGGTTTAAGCGTTGATTTAAGCTTTCTTTACAATTTTTTTTTCATAAAAACATTTTTCTGGGTCCGTCAGTGGGCCAAACTGAAGTTGATACGGTGGAAGTTGTGTAATCGCGTGTCTGCAGTCGGTTAATTAATATTCATATAATATTAATTCAATTTAATTAATGCGGAAGCTGAGTAATTTTTTTTTAATTATTCTTTAATATTATAATTAAAATCATTAATTTATAATTAAATCCACAACTACATTTGCACATATGTATGCATGATGCATTCATGAATAGAACTTTATGCTTGGATGAGTAAATGCATTTATTAGTGTGTGTATCCCATCTCATGCATTAGTTTCCTTTTCATTAAATTTTTTCAAGAACAGAGCATAAAATGTTTACAACCCTTTCTGGCTGCATGTACGACCACTTTCTATGCTCAAAACCAATTGTTTATACCCTTTGGAATCTTCCACAGGCTAATGTAATCAATTAAATATTCAAAGTGACACAATAATTTAAAGGAAAAATCTGACATCCCTCTTTTTTTTAGAAGAGTTAATTTGATATTTTATGAGTTATTAGAAAATGTGGTCAATTAAGATCCTATGCTCTAATGGTAAGTCTCCAAAGAAGAAAAGAATACCTGTCTTCCCCCACGAGGCACTTGAGTTCCAAACCAGACAACACATGCAAAGTATATTTAACCTTGCTTGCCCTCCTCCCAACAATCACAGCCTATGACTATAATCTAGAAAAAGGTTCTCTTTTCCTAGGTTTCTTCTCTTTCAAATAAGCACCAAACACTGACCAGTGAAATAACAAAGCTTGCTCATAAAAGAGGAGATGGAGAAGAAAAATCTTCCGGTAAAAATGGAGAGTTGGATTAAGCATACGAGGTTAGTAATTCTTTCTTTTCACACAGCCGAAATTTCGTATAGTAACATGTATCATCCATGTCTTGCAATTTTCATACCACTCGTATATTCATTTTGAGAGGCTTCTGTTTCCATACAACATTTTCCATATTTCAATATCAACCATTTTGAGAACCTAGGTGTCTGATCAAGAATATTATCATTCTTTGTAGACATTAGCATTGAAGTCAGAAGGTTATATATAAAATTATCTTCATTTCTCTTTTACAAAATCGTTTTTGTTTACTAGAGATCTTATCCATATGTATACAACAAAAATAGCTGCTTCCACAAATATTGTTTATGCTGAAAACTTTTTTTAGAATGAAATTAACTGATGCAGAGGAGGAGAATAAAGCTGATCTGGGTGGCAGCAGGGATCAGAAAATACCAATACAGAAAACTCAATCCTTCAAAGGTGACGTAGTTTTTCCCTTGCAGGCTTTGTTATCAATATTAGGCAGCAAAGAAAGTCATCATGATGAGAATTTGTGATATTCTGCCATCTTAAACAAAGCAAAGGGACAAAAAAAGTGGGGGGGAAAAAAGAAAAGCTTTACTTCCCCATATCTCGAGAGATTAAGATAGCATATATTCCATTTGACCAAAAATTTGTTCCTTGATGATAATGAGTAAAGAGAATTAGAACCTCCAAGAAGGATTTCATTTTTATTTACTTATATATTTATTTTTTAAAATAGAAAGAACTAAAGTTGAAATAATAAATATGTAAAGGGGTAATGATTTCCATTTCCATCATTAATTGATGCTAAATTGTCAACCTATACATAGTGTAATTACAGTTTCACATGATACTCTATGTCATGCAATAAGTTATCCCCCGGAAGCATGCATGAATTAATTTCGAAAGAGTGATACACATTAATGAGGCTATTCATTTTCTTACCCCCTTTTTTAGCTAAAAATTGAATGAGGCAATCAGTTAATTAACAAACTCCAGTGACAAATTTCTACAGATAAGAAAAAGGCTCAGAATTGGTTTCAGAGACAATTTTCAAGGAAAATGAGTCAGGATTATGACACCATAGAAACGGAGCATGCCACAGCAGTAGCTGCTGCTGCATTCGCAATTAGTTCACAACAAGAGGTCTTAGAAGTCCCACAAGAAAAGAAAAAAAGTGAACCCCCTAAGACCTCATTCACCGAGACCAAAAGCAAGATGGATGGTACAAAATATCCAATTTTCCAGCCTAGTGGTAGTGGTGGATCCAAGCGATTCTCAGGTAAAGATATATATGAACAGAAAACTTGTTTCATAATTTATACCTACTTTTTGAGGGGGGGAAATGACAATTTTGGTGATTTGCATCTGTATCACATGTAGGCTCATTCAAACACACGAATGACAAAGATAACAATGTGCCAATATCCCCAGTAACAGAAGAAAAGAAGCCTGAAAAGACCATCACCCCCGCACCATCAAGGAAAAAGACTTTAACTTTTAGGAAAAAGTTAGAGCGCACAGATGATGAAGAACCTGATATCCCAGCACCGAAAAAGACTCCATCTTTTGGTGATAAGCACTTGATGAAAACTGATGATATAAAACCTGAGACCCCAAAACCAAAAGTTCCTCCATCTGTTCATGATGATGATGAACCTCATATCCCAGCACCGAAAAAGACTCCACCTTTTGGTGATAAGCACTTGATGAACACTGATGATATAAAACCTGAGACCCCAAAACCAAAAGTTCCTCCATCAGTTCATGAGTCTGTGTCTTTAACGCCGCGGCCGCCGCCGCCGCCAATCACGGAAACTTCAACCCCTGCAAGGATACCAGTTGGAACCCGGGGGCAGATACCATCAACACCAAGCATCAGAGAAACAAAAGCAGATGCTTGGGAGAGGAACGAGCTAGAAAAGATCAAAGAGAGGTAGGTACTTGGTAATTGTACATTGCATTTGCATTCTAACAAAGAAACCATTCTCAATGAGGACTTGAATATACACTATTAATCTCTGGCTTCATGCATTGCTTACAATGAAAATAATTGTCAGGTATGAAAAGTTGTTAGAGACTATAGAATCATGGGAAAAGAGGAAGAAGATGAAAGCTAGACGCAAGCTAAATAAGCGAGAGGTTTTTCTCTCAACTCAACCATACTTTATGTTCAATTGAAATAAATTATATATGTATATATTGCTTACTTTATTAACTATATGAAACATGCAGCTGAGTGAAAGCGAGGGGAAAAGAGTGAAAGCGAGGAAGAAATATATGAATAAGATAAATTATATAGATGAGATTGCAGGGGGAGCAAGAGCACAAGCAGATGAAAGACGAAAGAATGAAGTGCTCAAAGCAAGAGAGAAGGCAAATATAATTAGAACAACAGGGAAGCTTCCAGGGTTATGCTCTTGCTTCTAACAACACCCATTATATATATTTGTAATTAATATCACTGAGTTTGGGCAACAAACAGAAAATCTGTAAATATTCATTTCATAGTTCTATGATTTCTATCTATACTGCTCTCTGTATTCCTTTGTAGTCTGGTAATTTTTCGATTTACACAAAGAAAATAAGGAAAGAAATAAACTTTTGGTGTACATTAGTTACAGTTGCTTCAAGTTTTGGGTTGTGATACAATTAGCACACATTCCAGGAAAGTACAAAATTAAACACTTTACCCAGAAAACGAAGATTTAATCAGTGAACAAGGGGTATTTTTATAATACTTAATTCATTTTGAAATATTATTAGTTTTTCTAACAGATATTTTTACTTTATTCCATTTATTACTTTGAAAAATTATGTATTGATCATTTCTTTCAATTTTTATTTTTTTATATTAATATTAAAAATAAAAAAACGTAAATAAAATAAAATAAAAAAATCAATCAAATATGATTTATCATATGATATCTTGAATCGGAAAAGAAAATCATTAAAAACTAATGGATCATAGGTATTCAATATTTGTAATAAAGACATGCTTCAATTAAAAACGTCCCTAGACCATTCTTGTACATCAATTTATGAATCCATGATGATACTAAAAAGAGGACAAAACGGGTAGATACACAAGCTAGGGTGATAGATACACACAAACAGAGCCATAGTGGAAAACGGATAGTAGAAGTCTATTACACAAAATACAAAAGCTTAGTTATTCAATCCATGATATGATATAACAACAACAACAACACTCACTAAAAGGCCCTTAAAATGAGTGAGTCTATTTCAAGAAGCTTCCAGCCAACTTGCCAAAACCACCACCTAACCCACCTCCAGATTTGGCATCATCATCACCTTCAGACTTCGGTTTTGATTCTTTTGAAGGTGTGGTAGTAGTAGTAGTAGTGGAGGAGGACTGGTACTTGTGCAGATAATCCGAAGCCTTGTCAACATATTGACCAATACCCTTTTGATCATCGAGTTTTCCATATTGACCAGCTGCATCTAGAAGATCCCCTGCAGCATCAGCCACCTTTGCTTTGTCCACCTTGTCAGATTCACCACCAAAAGTGGATTGTGCAGCCTCTGCCACCAACTTTGCGCTCGACATAAGGTCGCTCTTTGAGTGTTGCTCTTCCTCATCAGGTTTGTTGTGTGTTTCCGAAGCCATTATTTTTCTTTAACTTGGGGGGAGGAGGTTATGCAATAACTGGAAGAGGGTTATCCTTACTTTTATAATAGTATATGGGGTAGATTTTGCAAAAAAAAATATCTATACAATTTGTGGTTGAGGATAACGTTACGTGGGTCTGAATCTGAATTCTCTACTTAATAAAAATATATGATATGATTATAAAGGTAGATCAGTAACAAAGAAAGAGAAAAAAAAATATTAAAATAAATAATTATAAAATTATAACTATTAATTTATCTTTATATAATATTGTAATCTTTTTTGATTATATTATATTATCCATTTCCGGTCTGAGTTGTCTGTTCACACATTAAAGGCAGTGGGGACTTACATTATTTTTAGACACTGTTTGCTTTGCGTGTCGGCAAGCGTGTTGCTTTCTTCGTCGGGTCCCTCTAATTTACTAAAAATCAAAAGCCAATAGCTCTTAGGCATCCACGGACCACTTGTATTAAAAATCTGGTAAAGATTGTTTTCTGCCTTTACAATTTTATCAGGCACTATAAAAAAAATGAAATAATGTACAACATAAAATATATTTTATTAAATTTTGTATTATAAGAAGAATAGATTTCACAAAAATTTTAATTTGTTAACAATATAAATAATTAGTTATGACTCGACCAATACATTATTATTTTGTTTGGAATGTTGCTCGATATATATTTGTTCTAAATCAGGCCCTTGTTTGGTTATTTTAAATGGCTGTCACGTAGGGGCAATAAAACTTAATACATGAAAGCCCTTGATTCCTACGTATACAAATACATCTTCTCATATTAAAATTTCATATGATTTTGGTTAAATGAAAATTTTCTATTTATATCTTTTTTTATTAATAATAATCAAATTTCAATTTATTTAATACATGTGAAGAAAGAAATAGACAAAAATTTTATATTACCAAGTTATATAAGGTTTTAATACAAGAGGATTAACTCCCCATAAATATATGTGTTCCCATCATATCTTCTAAGCACATATGATTTTTTTACGAGGTCATGCAATTTCACACCATAATAAAGTTTATAAGATAAAAAATAACGCTCTTTTAAGTTAAACGGATAAATAAGGATCATGTTCTGCAACCACTGCCCACAAGATTAAATACAGTGTCTCTTTCACTTTCTTTATTATTATTTAACTTGTTGTTTCTCTTGTAGGAAAAAATAAATTTCATAAATAAGCCAAAGCCACCATCTCATTAATTCTCAATTTGTCTAAAAATTTGTTTAGCATTTTTTTTAAGTTAAAAATTACTTTTAAGTTAAAATTAATTAAAAAATTATAAACTATTTAATAATTATATAAAAAATTTAATTTAAAAGTTTAAATTAAAAATAAGCTAATATAATTTAAAAAAGCTCCTAAGAAAAGCTTTTAACTTTTAACTTTTTCTTTCACTATAACTTTTTTTTTATTATTATAAGAATTTTTGTAAAAATTTAACTTTTATTTATATGGAGAAAAAGATTTTTTTTAAAAAATTCCCATACTAATGCAATAATTACATTGAAACTTGGAGGTTTAAAGTATTGCTTTTTCAAGGACGTTTGATAAAAGAGAAACATTTATTTATTCGGGAACAATAGATTATCGGAATGTAGTGAGAAATATATTTTCTTGAAATGTTACTAAAATGTTGTTTGGTATGGCCAAAATTTTTCGAAATTTTGTGATTTATTTTACTGAGTGTGTGTTTGGTTAATTGTGAAATATTAGTGGGCATGTGAGGTTATTTTACGAAAATAATCTCACATTTACTTTTTAATATCATATTATAAGGAACGTTAAACATACGAAAATATCTCTACACATAGTTGAACATAGTTGTTTTGTGAAGACAAAGAAGAAACGAATCCGGGTTAAGGAACCTAGCCAAATTCATTGAAAAAGACATACGGGTTGGGTGAGTGGCTTTCATCTCCAGATTTCGTCCACTCCAGATTTCATCTCTAGCCAATATGTCAACATTCTTCACAGGTATACCTTCTGATGTATAAACAGGGTAAACGTCCAAGCTTCCACGGTAGAGCAAATGTTCTTCCAGAAGGATGCGACCAATTACACGGAGAGAGAAAAAGCTTTCACATATATCGTACACAAAATGGGGTTAACTTCATCCACATATTCGGGTCTTATTTTCCACTTCCCCATGCACGAAATTTTTCATCTAATCCATGAAACTTGTTAACTGAGCATTGTACATAACTTAACACACAACACCAATTTTCGGAATAAAATGTTTGCCTGAAAAGTTTTTCATTTTTTCGCACCAAACGTGGAAATGTTATTTCTCCAATGATAATTTTTTAAGAAATGTAAAATATATCTGGTACCAAACGCGCCTCTAGTCACGTCAATATACTTCCCCCATTTCAAAATATAGATAATCATTTTTCCAATCCAAGTTTCACATTATATCCAACCAATCAGTGGCAACGCAATGAACAAATTGGTTTGACCGTCCCCTACTAGTTTATAATTTCTTTTTGCGTTTTGTTTTTCTCTTTTAACATGAAAGGAGAAATATTTCTACAAAAACATATTTCAGATAGATTATAACATTAAAAAATTAAAAATTAAAATAAAATTAAAACATATAAATTGATATATGTGTGGTAAGAGAAATACTTTATTCTTTCTTTTGAACAGTGACCAAAATGTCACTGTTCATCAAGTTTTTTACCTAAATGTCACGCGAACAGTGTTATTTTCCAATCTGCCACGTGGACAAGTTCGCTACCCGGTGTAGCGAACTCGGTTTGCTGACGTGTCACGTTTCTAGTAGACACCAAATTAGCTACACGGAGTAGCGAACTTGGTTTTAACCAAGTTCGCTACATAATGTAGCGAACTCCATCTTTTTTTTTAAACTGGGTACTTGTTATCCACTAGAAATGTGACACGTCAGCAAACTGAGTTCGCTACACCAGGTAACGAACTTGTCCCCGTGGAAGATTAGAAAATAACACTGTTCGCATTACATCTAAGTAAAAAACTTGGTGAACAGTGACATTTTGGTCGGTATTCCTCTTTCTTTTTACGGTGATAGATACGATAATGTGCTTGCTTATGCTTGATATGTAATGATTACTAGGATCCTTATGCTCTTACTACCCAAAAACGAAACAGAGGCAGTATAAGGAAATAGACCACATATACACTTATGCGTGAAAGTTAGAGAGTGACAAGATGAGGGGATACTCACCGGTTATGGCATGTAAGGGAAAATATGGTTCAAAACTTAGTTTTGATGGCCTTCCTTGCAAGAGTCGACTCCTCAACTGCTTGCAAAGGAATTTCCTAAAGAAGCCGAAAAGGGGAATGAGAAAACAGAGATGAAGAAGCAACACCACACCTCCTCCAGCTAGTGACCGAGAATGTGGTAAGTGGTGAAGATCCAATGGCTTCAACTAGGAGAGAATACCGGCCGAAGAACTTAGATGAGGACCACTGACTTGGAGGCTTGCATGCGGGAAGAAGTTTGAACTTAAATGATGGTGGTATGAGGGATTTCGGCTTACAAGAATTGGGGCCAAAGGGAAAACCTCTTTGCATGAGTGCTTGGAGTAGGAGAGGACAAAAGAACTTAGGTGATGCCCACTCTCTTAAGAGCTCGCGACCTTGTGAAAAAAAGGGGTGACTGATTCATCTTCTTGACTGTCTAAATGGTTAACACGGTGATGGCCAACTACCTTCCTCATCCATGCTTCAAGTGTTCGAGTTGGTGGCTGCATGCAGGTGAAAAGGTCCACTCAGCACTGCTCCGAACAAAAGAGAGTATGAGACATGTGACTGAGCACGCATCATCTAAGCATGCCGAAGGTACCCAGCAAGAGCACCCCGGCTCCGTGCGCATAGGTTCCTTGGATATTCAGTTCTGTGAGCCAAAAAGAATATCACTTGGAGTTCTGTTAGCATGTGCACCTTAGTGCTATGGACATCCGTTCTGGCGTTATATACGCGCTCTATTTAGTACTTTGGCGTTATATACGCGCTCTGTTTAGTACTTTGGCGTTATATACGCGATATGATATATGATAAAAAGGAACTATGATGAAAATGATTTCATGTTTGTAGCGACTGTTTATAATTTTGTGCCTAGTTTAATATTGTTGCATTATTGATTTTGTTGCCACACTATTGAGATTTTTCTTACTCCTTTGGGGCTGCTATTTTTACAAAATGGCAGGAGGACGTAAAAGCTTTTGAGGACTTGGATATTTGTTGTTGGCTTCTACTGTATTGGGCATGCTACTATTGATGTGATATTGTATGGATGACTGTATGAAATTGAAAAGTTTTTTTTCTGTGAACTATAATTTTATTTTGCATTACGATTTTATGACCAGCAAGTATTTTGGAAACAGATGTTGAAACGTTTGCGAAAAGGATTTTGACATGTTATCTAAATGCTGAGTTTGAAAAGTCTTTGCGAGCACTTTGTAAATTGTCGTAAAGGAAATACGGACCTCCGATTTTCTTATAATTTATATGCACACGTATATTTTTTCTTATAATTTGTATGTAATGATTGCAGATTTGCAGTAGGGATTCGCTGAGGTTTTTTTTTTTTTTGTATAACAAAGGAAAAAACAGCAAAAGAAAACAAACTACAATCTGCAGTTTCTTGGGCAAAAGGTGCCGATAGCATCAGTACCAACTAGAGGCCTACAGTCACTAGGGGGTTCAACGAATACATGAGTATTCCAATCACTAAACTGATAAGCATAGGACGCCATCCAATCAGCTACCTTGTTGACTTCACGGAATGTGTGGGTAACCAGAACTTCCCAATCCAATTGGATGAGATTCCTAATTCTGTTGATTACGTGAGCCATGGGGTGAGATTCCTGACAGCCATTCTTGATAGTGTTGACCACCACCAGCGAGTCTCCTTCAATCCAAACCTTCTTGAATCCACCCTTCCAAGCTTGAAGGAGGCCTTCATAGAATCCTCTCACTTCATAGATTTCCAACCAGATAACCTTATCTACCCCATCCTGAGCCGAAG